GCTCACTGCCTAGAAAAGTAAGTATCCATCGTAATCTGCATCAGAATTCAATAATATGAGATAAAAAATAAGAGGAGAAACAAAATGGGCCCAATAACCAACCTGAGCTGTCTCTCTACTCAGCTTGCACATACAAGAATTGGGCCAAGGCTATTCGTCATTCATTAAAGCAGAGTTTTGACTGAAAAACAAGGAGTGAGAAGTGATAAATTTCTCCAGCAAGGTTTGATTTTGTAGGCCATAATAAAGGATTACAAAACTAAGCTTATGCCAAAGCTGGCTTTACTTTTCTTCTTTTGATAGCAGAAGGTGCCCAACAGTGTCATAAGAGTTCTACTTCCTGGGTGTGCATTCATCAGCTCATTGTGTGCAATCATTTCCAATAGGTCATCACGGCCATCTGCATATAAAGTATATCTTGGATTACACAGAGAAAGAGCATCGGAGTCATCAGTGCAGAAAATAGATGTTGAGAAATTGTTCAAGGAACCACACAGAGTGGACATTGCTCTACTAAAACTGAAGAGGTATCATTTCACCTGAAGTGTTCCTTCATTCTGACATAACAGTTTTGGTGTGCCTCTATTTTGACTAAATAGTGGTTGGTTGGGGGTGTCATTGAAATGTATATTTCTTTACATGCTGTGGCCCTCTCTTTTTTCCCTTTCTGCAGAAACTCCAGTGGAAAGCAGGGTGATTCAGCTGCAGGGCTTCAGAAAGGGAAGGGGCTGCTTTGGGAGGGGAGGATGACTAGGGATGGTGATACAGGCTGGCAATGTGCTTGGTGCCAGCCATTGTGAGGCAAGGTGGAGGCAGCAGAGTAGATGGAGGTTGTGCCTAGAAGAGCTTTCACTGCATGTCTCTCCCTACACACTTCTACTTTGGTAAGGTAATGAGGATTGAAAGCTGCAATGTTAATATGTGTGAACCCATACTTTTTCCATGATAGAGTGAGGGGATTTTTTCCAGTAGTTGTCCTCTGTGCAGGCAAGTAGTATGAACTTTTGATACAATACCTTTGGTTGGCCCTGCTTGCATATGTTTCCATTGGTATGAAACTCTCTCCAACATACTGTGCAATCAAGAGGCATACACCTATACAGCTACTAGCTGATATGAATATGTTGTGCTTGTACTTTTATTTCCAGGGGTGTAATGCAAATCCAAAACATAGCACAATTAATGTGGCTTCTTAATGGAGCCTAGCTAAGAAGCTGCACCCAAAGGTAAGTCAGGTGGACTCGGACTCTGCTTTATGCTAACAGTGTCCAGTTTGAAAGTGACTTATAAATGGTCAGAGTGGATGGAGAGCAAAGTTATCTAGGCTTTGCAATCTGTTCATTAGCCTACGTAGACACATTCTCTTGGATTTATTTTTTGTTTGTTTGTTTGTTTTTAATGTCTGAAGTTAACTGTTCTCCATTTCAAATCTTTTCCTTTTGTGTATCATGTTCTGTGGGATTATAGCCTAAAATAAAGGTGGTTTTGCACTTCGGAAAAAAAAAAAAAAAAAAAAAAAAAAAAAAAAAAAAACACCACCACCACCACCACCAAAAAACACTTACCTGAAGCTTAGGATTTCAAGGGAAAAAAAAAAAAAAAGCTGACTGTATAAAATCTCTTTAGAAAACTGAAGGTACTATGAAGGATAAATGCTTTAATGATTGCTCCTGAATGAGTGTTTTGTTTGTTTCTTTCAGCCCAGCAATCATCAATAATCATGTAATCCCAGTTTGCTTGCCTAAAGAAAATTCTGTGTTAGGAGGAAGAGAGGAGTGCTATGTGACAGGTTGGGGAGATACAAAAGGTGAGACAGAATTAACACACCTAAAAGCTCCATTTTTGGAGCTGGGTATAGATTTGTGTCCAAAATACATTCACTGTGTGCCAAAAACACTCAAAAAAGAGCTTGTGAGTGTCCATATTTTCCAACCTAGATGATTCTATAATTCTATGATGCTTCATCACAATTCATCAGGTACTGCTTTTCTTTCCAATGTCTCCTGATTTAGATTCTCCTAAATCACTCAGACTGATGTAAATTGAAACTCCCTAAACAAGTACTAAAAGAGGAGAAACAGACCTAAGGACATATTTACTCTTATTTCTAAGTCCGCTGTGCTTTTCCTCAAAGTGTTCTTTTACACAGTCAGAAGGAAAGTTTTTCTAGATTTAGGCTATTTCTTAATCACATGAAGTCAGTTTGCTCATTCTCTCCAGTAATTTTTCTCCCAACCAGCCTTGTTCAGAAGGTCTCACTCAAATATAAACATGCTCACATTGTCACACCTCCTACTTTGTCTTGTCTGAGAAGAGCATCTTATCTTCTCTGCCTCCTTGCTTCTGCCTGTCATGCCATTTTCAATTGCCTACTTCCTACCTGCTTTCTTCCACAGAGAGAAATTCTCAGATACTGACAAATAAAATGGCTTGGGAATGACTCCCTCAAATATTGTGGGTACTGAATCCATATGGATTTACTGTTGGAACAGTAAGGGCAAGCAGTGCAATGTGGATTTTGGTGGGTGGTAAAGGATTATGTGCCATGATGCTGATAACACTTACTGATTTTGGAATCACTCTATGTTATACATGGAAAGTACGTGCATAGTGCACAAATGCTACACTTATTTTACTTCTTATTCCTATCACAATGTTGTTTTGCAGAGATGCTCATTTACCTTTGTCATTCATCGTGCTGTTTTTTTATTATTATTTTAATATATATTGTTCATTTGCAAAGGAACTGGTGGTGATGGCTACTTAAAAGAAACTGGTTTCCCTGTAATTGAGAATAAAATATGCAACCGCCCTGAATTTTTGAATGGGAAAGTCAAAAGTCATGAACTGTGTGCTGGGAATATTCATGGAGGTACAGATAGCTGCCAGGTAAGAAATTCTATGAGTATCAGTTTTTATTGTAAATGTTTTCAGACCAGATAGCCTTCTGTTCCTTAGAGGCTTAAAATTAGCTTCAGGATGTTGCCACACCACCTGGTTTAAGAGCTGAAAAATGCATGTGGATTCTATTCTTTCCTTGCTCCTTCATATGCTGCTAGGAAGCAGGGCAGGTAATTTTTCAGATACTTCTGAACTACAAAGCAAATGGAAATACATGGCAGCCTGAGCCAGGTGTATGGAAACCAGCCTGGAATGACTAACGGTCTGATATTTTTCCAGACCACTTTGTTTGTCTCAGTTAGACTATCTCCAATACTATAGCTAAGTTAACAATCCAAGTCATCCCAGTTAGCATTAAAGGATCAGTAGAGTGGAGTCTGCCATTCAGGCATACCAAAGGCCAAAGGAACAACTAGTTACCAAGCATCAATGCCTGTGCAAGTCACTCCATGCGAAGCAATTTTCATGCTGAACTTTCCTTTTGCTGAAAAGGAAGAATATGGTTGGCAATAGCTCATAATATCTCACAAGCACAGCATGAAGGCTTCTCTGGAATTCTGTTTTGAAATTTAGTTCTTCGGTTTATTTAAATGCATGAAAAGGCTTAGAAATGGTTAACATACTGAATAAAACTGGAGACTTTTCTTCCCTGAAAAGGTAGAGATGACTCTGGAAAGAAGTCCAAAACCAGCAGATTGCCTGCCTCAGTAGGCAAGTCAACACCACTGCCAACACAGCACAGCTACCCTATTCACAAGTACAGTGATGGTCAAGCAAGCCATTGAGGGATGTGCATTCACATCTTAATAGCTATGTCTTGAATGCATGCACTCACTTGGTCTCTGACCATGAAGCTGTAAACAGCTCAGAGAACAGACTGAGGAAGGAAGCACAGATTAACAGTTACTAAGGGCAGTAAGATTCCTGATGTTGACATTTATTTGACTAGAAGAGTTGACAAGAAGAGATAACTTTACAGTATCTGTTGGAAAGCTCCTTTCTGTTTAAAGCTCCAGTGCTTTCTTATAACATGTGAAGACCTCTCATGCAAGAGATATTTCTGTGCCTCCTGTAAGAGTGCCATGCTTTGCACACTGGTCTTTCATTCTGTTCTTTCTCACTCTGTTTAGGGGGACAGTGGAGGACCTCTAGTGTGTCTGGACCAAGATAAATTTGTCCAACATGGAGTCACTTCTTGGGGCCTTGGCTGTGCCCAACCCATGAAACCTGGAGTTTATGTTCGAGTTTCTAATTATATTCCTTGGATTAGGAGTGTAATGGAAAACAACTGATACTGGGTATGGACTGCCCTCTCCTGGAAAGCAGTATGCACATTAGAAATTACAAGATTCCAAGTGCAATATTAAAGCTACAATCATTCCTTAAAAAAAAAAAAAAAAAGTAAAATAAATATGATCATCCATTTAAAATTGATACAAGTTAATGTTTATTGCCAAGAAACCCAACTGATGGTGTGTTACCCTCCTTCTGTATATTCTGTATATTCTGTGGTTTGCTATGTCTGACAATAGACCTACCCACCTTTGAAATACTTGTCAAAAAAACAACATCAACTGGAACTGGACACCTGCATTTCAATCTTATATGAGACTCTACAATGACTTTTTCTTCTGAGGTTGTATTTCCCAAGATGTCCTGTCTCAAGCAAAGGAAAAAAGGAGAATACTTCTCATTTTATATGAGTTGGTTTATCTTTTTACCAATTCAGGGACACAAAACAAAGAAGAAACTCACTGTATTTGTCTTTCATGCCTGTGAAGTTTTATTAGATATTTCTGATAGCATTAAATACATAGAACAGAAGAAAAAGAAGCAAACACAATTGGTTTGTATTTTCATATTTTTTATTGACATATAAATATGTGTCAGCAGAAGTACAAATGTTCCATCAAAGATATAAAACAGTGAATAAAAAAAACCCTGACCACAAAGTTAGCCCATAGTGAAGACAAAGAAATAGCTGATGTCAATCACTACAGCAAGTAATGACAATGCATGTAACATATTATAAACTTTCATTGTCCATAGTACCAGTCTTGTTTCACCAACTTTGTTTTACTGTATAATCGTTACTTGTATTTTTTTTTTCTCTAAAAGAAAAGGAAGTACACAGGCTTGTGGTTACAGGAAGTGAAATCTGTTCCCCTAGACCAACATCTCCTAAAATACAGCTACTTCTATGTGGTGCTATAATGGCAAATTTGTTCTTGATGTTTGAAAGAAAAGACCAGAAAAGACCCCCAAAATTCAATGCTGATCTGCTGAATATACATGTGCAGTTATACACACTAGGGGAAAAAGCTCTCCTGGTCTCTCTGCCAAGTAATGACAAATTTCTGAACCATGAAGCATTTCAGAAGTTACCTCTCTTTCCATTATGGGGATTTTATGTTTAATTTTACATTTTTTATTTTTTCTTTGTTCTTCATCCATTGTCTGTTTTCTGTCGTCCAAAAAGAGATTTTCCTCCCAAAACACATCATAAAAAGAACTGATTTCAGTTGTCCAATAAGTTCCTGCTGTTTGTGAATCATGTCACCCCCCTAGAAATGCATTCACATTTTCCATGGCTTCCCCCAAGAACAAGTGCCCATGGAGGAGATGCGTTGCATTCTAGCAGTTTTTTGTTTTGCTTTGTTTTGTTGGTTTTTGTTTGTTTGTTTTTCTCCCATAGACTGTAATGGGAGATTATAGTCTGGCTAGAAATGTCCGGACATGCCTGAAAGGCTATGCACAACCCACCTAAATGATAACACTTTAAAGCATGTAAATTGTGCAAATTGTGATCTTTTCCTTCTATGAGAGTGTCAATGGCAATATATATCACTACTTATCACTAATTGTACTTAATACTAACCATTTGCAGAAACTAGTTGAAGTTACTAGTTGAATGAAGTTACTTCATTACTAGATGAAGGCAAATTTTGGGACAGGGACACATTTGGACTAAAAAGCATATTCACCTGTTTGTTGGTCTAAGGAAACGTTTTGCAGACAGGAGGAAGTTAGCTCCCGGGTTCCAATGGTTATGTTGAACTTGTTTCTTTGGCATTGGTAAGGCGATCTGTTGGTGGCTATGCAGATCACATCATTCACTGAGCTTCTAGAATGAAGTGTCTATCACATGCAAGACAACTAAAGCTGGCAATGTTTGCCACTCACCCAAAGCTGTGTAACCCCGTCATCACCTGGTCGTGCTAACCCTTTTCACAACCTTCAAGGGGCAGCCCAAATTCACACAGACACAGAAGGATTCCCCATCTTACAAAATCTACATGTTATGGGTAAGAGTTAGCACAGGAGCCATTACTGAATATAAACTTGTCCTGAATTTAGACCTTCTGTTGGCATTCATTATTACTGTATTAAAGTCAGAACACATACACAGCCTTTTTTCTGATGTTCTCTACATAATGAATTTTTATAACATAAATAAATTTAATCTTCTGACACTGCCCCTAGTTAGTTTACATACAGGAATATTTTACTTGTATCCTCTTCCAAGCAATGTATGGTGCTATGCAAAACAAAGCACAATCCAACAGGCCAGAAACGAGCCTTCACCCCTCTCACTTCTCAAGCACCTTTCAGTCATCTACAAACAGCAACAGCTGGCAAATAATATTGACATTAGTTCGTCAATGAATTATAGCTTTGAATGACCTTCACCGTCCTTCCCAGACTGCTGCAATGTCTAAGAAACTGTATAAAAAATAAAACAAAATTCATGAAGGAGAAGCATTAAAGGGAAAATGGAGGCTTAGCTCATCCAGCATCACATCTGAGCACCTCCCCATGCCTCCCAAGAGCCAGTGGGGTCTGGCTGGCTGCCAAGAAGCCAGGGCTGAGTTCTGTGCTCCCACCCCACACTGAGACACAGCAGTGGGTTTGCCCAGGGTTTGCACCAGGGCAGTGCAAACCCATGGCTTCCAGTTCAGGGCTGGTCTCTGCCAGACAGCCCTGGGGAGCTTACAGCTGCCAGAGGATGATTGCATTGGTGTAGGAGGAGTGTCCCTCTCACACCAGTAACTCCAATTTCAGGTCATATGCTAATCACCAATTTGCCAGATGTTATGACACATGCATTTAGTTTCATACCTTCCAATCACTACTGACTTTTGCTAAGCATCCTATTGACCTCCAGCTATGCCTCGGAGGAAATTAAGAATAGTCTTGAAAGACAGACCTTCATTGCTAACTATTCAAAGCATGCAAACTTTAATTTGAGATTACTAACATGGATCCTGTTTTCTTCCAGCATGGTTGGTGGTATGGGCAGTTGCTGGGAAAAGGGAGGGAGAGCCAGGAACTGTTGAAATGCCTGCTATACTCCTCACCATAGGAAATCCCCATGCACAGCAGTCTTTTTGTGCTCTTAAGATGATAAGACTGCAGCAGTAGTCATTCAGCTGCACTGACCTTAATGTTAGCATCACTCATTTGTGTTATGAAGCCTTAAAACCCATTCCTATATTTGCCTATGCCAAATATTTTGTTCTGAGCTAATAAAGCCCTCTACTACAGCTCAATGTCTTTCTTTGGTTTAATTCTTCATTGTTAACAGTATATCATTTGGATGCCACTCTCAAGTCCTTCACCATAAGGACACTGTATTGACTGTCTGGCTCTGGCCAGGACCCAACACCTGGTGGAGAAGCTCACAGGGACCAAAACAAAGGCAGGTTGTGCCAGCTGTCTGCTTGCAGAGCCACAGATCCAAACACTTTTGCTACAGGTCAGCTTCAAACAACTGGGTCCAGTTAACACTTCCCTCCATAACCAAACTTCTTGTATTGTCTCTGCTCATTTTCCCAAGACAGCTAAACATCTCTGTCAGCATCCCAGATAACTTATCCCCAAGGCAGAAAGATGGCCAATGGTGTGAAGAAGAGCAGCTCTGGGAGTCAGCTTGGCCCTTGTCAGAGTGAGGTGATTTGGTTTGCAGGAATGGACAGAGACTGTAGCTTAGAACATTTAAAAAAAAAAAAAATCAGCATATCTGGCACATGAACCCCAACAGGGCCTGGAAGGAGGCAGTGATGGGCAGTTGGATGATCTGACCTGCAGAGCTAATGCCCTGTCACAGCCACATAACAGGAGAGGAGGAAGAGGAGTGCTGCCACATTCAAGAAAGACCTTTAATGGGCAGGGCTTTTGTCACAGAGTGTCACTGGGAGATAGGAGCAGACTGGGGTGAGGATCTCCTGGTCCCATCCTCCTGACCTGAGAAAGGTCTGCCCTGACTAGCACCCTCCCTCACAAGACTGTCTTCTCTTCTCTATCCAGATTCTCCAAGGGCGAAGGAGAATGGGCTCAAATACTCATCCTCTCTTCCCCAAAGTCATCCAATTCTTACCATTTCCAATTGTCCTCACCCAAGGGTATATGCTAACAATAGAAGTAAACAAATGGCTCAAATATACAAATAAATAAATAAGAGCTCACTGAGCTAGATAGTGCATCTTTTTAAGCAGATCTGTTCTACCTAAACCAAAGAATATTCCCTTTCTGGAAACAGCACTTAGAAAAAAACAAATTTATTCCATATTTACAGAAAAATACACTGTTTGTTCTGAATGTCATTACACTTAGAAGAAGAACATGCATTTTCATCCACACTCTGCAGCAAACTTCAAAGTGGCAGCAAAGTGCAAGAATAAATTCCCAGTGTGGGAACGTGGTTCTTTGTTCAATGCCATCCTTCAAATATCAAATATAAGAGTTGGTGTCCCGATGTTTCCTTTTCTTGCTGCATTTACCGTATGGACTGAAGAAATGGAAGAGGAGGGGCGTAAAGGTGGAAGAAAAGAGAAAAGAGAGTTGTAGTTGAAGATATTATTATCAGTGTAGAAAGTTTCCTTATTCTTTTGTTTGTGTATCAAAGTGGGGAAAAGTTGCTGATGCAGGATCCAAAACCACACTGTGAAACACTAATCTATGGCACTACCTCCTCAAGAAATCTACTGCCAGGCAAGCCAGTGTGTTCCCTGAATGCCTGCAGCTCAGTGAAGAATCTCGCTCTCGCTTGCAGTTTCCTAGGAATGGGGAAACTATGTTTATATCTCTTCAGCTACAAATTCATCTTGTAGGTGACTTCTCAGTGGCTTCACAAACTGTGGAAAAGCTCCCATTATCAAAGGCCCTTCCTCACTTGATGCTTTGACTGAGGTAAGGGCTGGTTTTCCTGACCAGAGAGCTGCAGGCTATCTTTTGCAGCCTCTCCCTTGTACACTATCACTTTCTGTTTCCAGAAGTGCACAGGACAACTTCGTGCCCTTATGAGAATTTTTTCTGTATTTACAGGACCTGTCTCCATATTTTTTTGTTGTTGTTTCCTGTTTTTTAACAACCTGACTTAGTGGTACAGAAAAAGAAAATTGAGGAAAATATCACCTGCTCATAGTATCATCCTGATTAGGGAATTTACTTTGACACTCAAAACACATCAATCATGTATGACAGATGACAAGGTTAGAGGAGGACACCCTAAGGAAACCTCACATGGGTAAAAGTATGAAAATACATATCATACCTTGATAGCTGCTCTACATCCTCCACTGTCTCTGGTAAGGAGATTCCCTTTGTCTCTGGTAAAAGCATTACTAGGATCCCGCAGACAACTGCAAGAATACCTACAATGGACATGGAAGAAACAAAAAAAAAGCTATAAAAAAGTATTATAGCAATTGTGTTAAAGCAATAAAAAAGTATAAAAGTGTTAAAGAGATAAAAAACTGTTATTTTTCTTATTTTCAGGGTTTATCAGCTGAGGAAGGCTTACTCAGATTAAGGTTAAAATTAGATGTTTAAAGTGCAACATGTATTTCTGATTAATCCTGCTTGTAAAAGCACCTTCATGCTAAATTACTTTAACCTATTAAAAAACAGACAAACAAACCAAAACAAAACAAAACACCTGAGAGCTATGGGTTCATTTGCAGCCTGAATTACCGCAAAAGGGATCATTTAAAGATCAAAATTTTATGTCCTTCAACAGGTGCAGATAGTGTGATTAGATAATGTGAACACAGTATTTCTATAAATGTCTATTCTTGGAATAATGGTAATTTTTTAATTTTAATTTTTTTTTTAATGTCTTTTGTTTTTCCATTTTTGTTTTAAAGCTAAGTTTGTCATTAGTACCATTAGTACCATTTTCCCTTCTTACTTTATCCTATCCCTTTTGCTTTTTTCCCAGCCACATGTACTTCCTCTAAGACTGGTTTATTTGCAGACTTCAGCTTCCTTGGTGGAAAAAATCTACTTTTTTTTGTTGTTGTTGTTCCCGCAGACTTACTTCAGAGGGCTCATTTCTCCAAAATTAAACTGAGGAAAAGAGTTTTAGAGGAAGAAGTTGTGGCTAATATAACATCCGGTCTTAACCATATATACAAAACAGACAAGCAAACCAACCAACCAAATAAACAAAAAACAACAAATATTTCTTAAGGGACATCAACTTCCATTATCCAGAGATTGAGCTTATTTCTCTGCAATGACAGAACTTAGCTGCAATATTTCTCAGTCTCAAAACACCTAACATAATTTCTATGGTTTTTCAACCAAGTTACTGAAAGGGCCTGAGATCTTCCATCGTGTGCTGTGAAACCCTCACCTATATGCTGGTTAGACTCTTTTGCTAGACATGAAGGTTGAGAGGGGATGGCTTGAGTGGGAGATGAGGCCCGTGCTACAATTTTGCCCTAAGAAAAAAGCTCAGCTAGGAGGAAAATATATTAACAAAAAGTGTATTTAAAGTCAATTCTTACTGAAAATAATTAGAGGTAGCTCCAACCAAACAGCTGCTAGTCGGAAAAGCAGGAATGGGGCTATGATCCCACCTAGGTCACACAAACTCGAGCACAGGGAAACACCAAAGTTTCTGGAAAAAAAAAAATAGTGCCAGATATTTGAGAGATGCTTAGCAAACAGATGAGCAGCAGTTTGAGAAGCAGTGTGTAGGATTAACTCCAAAATTATCTTGTCAGTATATGCCATCCACACTGATGAGCAGCTGGCTGTTCACTAAGGAAACTCTGGAGAAAAGTGAGTTTTACTCAAAAGCAGTGAAATAGGTGAAAATCTGAGGGAAAAGTTTCAACTTACCTCAGTATTGTTGGGTACAACTCGGAGTTCACAAGGTAGACAATTTCAAAAGCGATTGTGATGCCCAGCCTTCCCAGCGTGGCCACGGTGGTTTTGAGCCATGGGATATCTGTCCATTCAAAAAGAAACCCTGGTGAGCCATGCTTTACTACACCTGCGGCCTGCTGCCAGCCAGCTCTCACTTACAGGGATTTTACTCCGGTACCTGCATTGGTTGCAGCAGAGCATTTTTCAGATACAGGGGCACAGGAAAAGCCTATGCCCAATTGTCTGTGAAGTGCAGATCACAGTAAAACACAATCAAGGGTGAGAAAACAAAACAAAACAAAAAAGCTCTGATAGGTGGTGGAACAACTCCTCTCTGCCTGAGTGACCACGCACACTCCTTGTCAGAGGCTGGTTATGGAGCTAGATGGACCACGGGTCTCACTCAGCCATGCCGTTGCTATTCTTCTGCTTCTAAAAGAATAGGCTCCAAGCCCTGTCAGTGAAAACTACAACGCAGGAACACTGAATCAGTGCAAGTCAGACTGAAAAACCACTGCTGTAGATATCAATCTATATTGACATTTATTGCTTTCTGACATCATGAGAGACTGCTTTGGAGAATCAGAAATAAATTCCAACCTTATGATTCAAGGGGTATAACACTGTTCTCCTTAGAGCAGGCCAACTACAATTCACTGTTTAGCCATTGCACATTAGACACACTCCTAACGATGTTAATTTTGGGTACCCTCGCCATGTACCTCGTGAAGGCACAGCCAGCTCTGGGTCACTCTGACCAGCTCTCCCTGCTCTGCTCAGTCTCTGCAATAGTCACATCTGCACCACAGGACAGAGTCATCCTGCCTCGCTGTATGCAACACTTCAGCAGTCCTCCAGCCCTATCTGGAGAGCTGGTGGCCTCTGGAAGAGAGCCACAAGGAACATAATGAGGACTGCTGCAATGCCTTTGCAAGAGGACAGTCTGCCATATGAAACAACCATGACTGGACAGGCTGGGAGGTTAGTGAAACAGCAAGCCTGAGCCTGTCACGAAGGGGAGCTTGCCACTGGAGAGGGCTCTGGCAGTGGCTGTGTTTTCTCATGACTCCAATAGGAGGAACAAGAAAACATTTCAGTTTGCTCTGAAGTGGAAAATGGATGCTTGGATGTTTTTCCCTTCCAAAACAATCAAACAAACCCCCCAACAAATTTCATCCCATGCTGCAAAACTGCCTTTGCCCTTAAAAGCTCTGTTTTGAAACACTTGCAAGAAAAGCAAAGGCTGGAAAGAACAAAACAAATTCACATTGTCACCCTGGCACCCCTTCAGTCTGTCGGGTCCCTGAGGTGTGACGCACATGTGGCTCCTCCCTCTGCCATGGGACTTGAACTGTGTGAGCACCCCAGGGTGACCAAGCCCTCATAAATTGCTGCTATTTCACACCTGTACAAACACTTCTCTTGAAAGCAGGACTTGGGCCTCAGGTGTCCCATCTGTGAGTCCCCAGGACTGGGCCCTCTGTTTCTGAATTGCAGTGCCCCATGGTGGGGAGCAGGCAGGCACCCACTCATGGTCTGGTGGCTTGTCAGAGAGGCTTGCAGCAGTGGGGACATAAGCGATCATGGGCAAAATCCATCAGAAGAGCAGAGCCAGCCAGCATTCACAGACTTCAGTGGTCTAGCTGATGAACTCAAATAAGTGAGGACAACACTGCATCATCCCAGGGTGCAGTCTCACAGCCACCAGTGCCAGCACCACAACAGAGTGCTGACCTTCCTGCTCCATATCCCTGTCACATCGTTTCTACTTCTACTGAAGCAATGAAGCTCCTCAAACATGCAATACAATTTTAAGTATTTTTGGAGGAAACCCTCTGAAGGAAGCTTAACTGAGAGGGAGGTGAACTAACACCCCTCTCTGAAGTATTTTATTTTGCACTCACTGCAAACCTGCCCGGTCTTGTCAACACATCTTACCTTGAAGTGGCTCCCTGTGGCTCTTCTCAAGAAAAACTATTGTCCCATAATAAAATCTGGAGCTAAAACCTTTAAGGCTAGCAAGGATTGTCACTCATTTTGACAGGCACATCCCTGGGAGGAATCAGCCTCTCTAATGCCACTTTGGCTGCCAGTTCCTAGCTACACTGAGGCAAAGCACACTGATGTGGTAACACAGGGTGCAGAGCAACTTCAAATGCTTCCCTGGGGATACACACTTGGTGGTACCATAAAACAGCTACACAGGAGGGAAAACAATTTAAAGAAAAGAATGGAGTGCTGGGAAACCTTCAAGCAATATCAGACCCTTTGGTTGTCCTTGAAATCAGTTAAGGGTGATGTAATTGAAAGTCATAGCTTTTCTCTACCCACTTCAGCATTGTCCAAAGCCCTGGGAGGGTGAGGGCAGGGAAGCTGTCCTTGTTGCCTGCTGCAGACCCTACACCCTGTTGTGGTTTGGATGGGGATGGAAGGGTTGGGAAGAATAAGGGTGGCCAGAGCACATTGCAGCCTGGCATTGCTGGGCCGCTGGAATAACCTGACAGTGCCAGGAGAGCCATGACACCAGGGGAAGGTCTTGAGAGGTTAGGCCATGTTTTATTTTTCTAGGCATCATTTTATTTTTGAATGAGGAGACTCCAACAGTGCCTCAGCTAAATCACTGATTTCTAACATTTTTAAGTGTCTTCCAAGTCAGGGAATGTATCTTCCTCTCATGTTAGTATATTCTTCCCTTGCACAAGTCTTCAAAACAATATAGGGCCTTTATATACGTATTTTCCATGACTACACCCATTTGTTGCTCACTGCCCATCAGAGATCTGACCATTACATGTCCCAGGACAGTCTATAAGTAAATAAAGAATTGTTTCATGACTGTGGTGTTGCTTGCATCATCAGCCAGATTATACTTCTATCTACCATTTTGTGTGGCCTCCTGTCCTTGCTTAAGGGGTCAGAAAGAAGATATTGACCTAAAGATCTTGATGTTGGGAAGGGTTGGAAATTACCTTCTGGCAAGAAGGCAGTAATGAGACATGCAATTCCTGCCACAAAGTTGCTTATTGCGAAGGGAAGGCGCCGGCCAAAGCGATCAATTGTCACTAAAATTAGGAGAGCGGCAGGCAGCTCAACAGCTCCTGAAATGAAGAAGTCCAGGTAGAGGTTTCCTCCAACAATTCCTAGGCGCATGACAAGCCCTTGGTAGATCAGGGCACTTGTGAACCTAGACAGCAAAGGGAAAAAATACTGAGAGGCAAACAAATGACTGCAGGCAGCTGGAAAGACCCTAAAATTCATGAGGGGGTTATTCTTGATAACACCTCACCCTTGTAACAAGTAACACTGAGGTGGGCACTCACCAAGCATACATCAGGATAAGCGTGTTTCTCCTCATCTGAGGAGTCCTCACCAGGTCCAGAAAGGAGGGATTGCTGACCTCTGCGTTGCTAACAGTGATCTGAGGAGAAAGGCAAGCAGCAAAGTCAGCTGTCAGATGTCAGGCAGGCACTGGAGCAGGGTTTCTAAGTAAACGCAGTGCTCAGCAGTATTTCAGTCAAGCAAGCAAAGGTGCTGATGACCTGGTTTGCTGCTTTTAGCACTCCAGAGCAGTGTGAAGTTATGGGAAATAGCTTACAGCTGAATACAGCTGCTGGTTTTCCTTAACAGCGACCATGCAAAAATTGGAAAGAAATCCCAAATCTTGACTAGAGAGTAGAAAAATGATTTCCTCAGAGTAAACTGAGAGAGTTTGACCTGGAATGCCTTGAAAGACAATAAATGGCTTTTGCAATGTCACAGTCACTTGGAGTAGAGAATGTCACAGGATGGCCAAAGCTATCAGGTTGTCAGAAAGCTGCTGGTAATACACCTGGGCACCAGGAAGTAAAGAGAAGTGTGAGAAAAATCAGATCTGTGAAGGCGCTTGGGTGATGCAAAACTTAACTGGTGAAATTCAGAGGCACTTAAAATATAAAAGCACTATGATGAGCAAGGCTTTTGCCCTGAAACAACTAAAAATCCCACAAAGTATGAATTAACAGTTCTCATATGCCTGAGAGGTACCTGTAAATCTGTTCACAATTTCTCCAGTACAGACACAATGAGGCAGTCGGTGAAGTTATTAGCTAGAAGGTTTAACACTAACAGAATGGGCAGGGTTTCATGCAGCCTGTGATTATGTTTTGTAATTCATTACCATAGGATTTTGTGGAGCCAGAACACATCCATGGAGGCTGGCTCATCCAGCAGGTTTTAACCATGATGGGTCAAAGGGACACCCTGACCAAGGGGTTCCCCAAGCTGGCCAGCAACTGGGGGAACATACAAGGGGAAGAATCAGTCTACTCCTGTCAAAGATGCTGCCCTTAATTTGTTTCCCAATCATCTACTGTAGGTATTTACAACACATAATACTAAGACACATGCTGGCAGCCCTTTGGTTTGTACGTTCACTTTGCAGATGAGGAAGATGATAAAGAGAAGGCATAGATGGTTTTAGGCAGGGACCAATATGGGTCTGCCCAAGACCTGGCAGCCACAGCTGAGGTTTCCATCAGCTCTCAGAGAAGCTGTGGAAGACATGGGGTTAAAACTGATGCATCATTTTGAGAACTCCAGGCAGCCTGGCTGCTGGGACTCCCAGATGTTGCCCCCTCCTGCGAGGAGCCTGAAGAAAGCAGATGGAGGAGCAAGCCCTTCTCTGCAACCAAAGCACTCGCTGTCCTGCACCCACACAAGGAGCCCAAGGACACAATCCCAGCCCATGGGGAGACAAGGTGAGAAGACATAGAGGTATGTGGGATCTCACACATCCATGATGAGGCAACAGGCAAAGCCCAAGGCATTTGCAAAGGGGCTCCTCAGCTATGCCCACAGTTCTTCTGTGTTGTTCACATCAGAAGATAGCACAGAGAGATTTGTCTGACTGAATTTAAGCATGACTTTTTCGTTACTAAGTGCCACAAAACTCAGACAATAAGTGGATAGAGAAATGCCACATTTGTTTGAACTTCCTTTCTACTCTGTCTTGCTTTTCTTCTGCAGCCTGAGCCAGAAGTTTTCTTCAAAGCACTGCCACTACTGTTGCATGCCAGAGCGTTTTTAGGACAGGCCGATGTTGCCAGGTTTCTACACTGCTCTTGGACTCTCTCATAATATGGTTATAAAGCTTCCGTGACTTGTTTATAAGAGCAGGCTGCCAGCCATCATCTGTGCCTTTGTGCAAATATGGTTTTAGTCCTCCAAAGGACCGAAGATAAACTCAACATGGCTGTTACCATATATTTTTATGTCTTAATAAAGTCATAATAACCCCAAGCATGACTGAGCATTTTTTATACATGAAGAAAAAAATCACTGTGGAGTCAATGATTTGTTGGGAAGAAAATCCTCTTTTTGTTCCTTGAAGTCAAGGAGAGCTTTGCTATTCACATCACTGCAGCCAGGAATTCTAAGACAGAGCCCATGTTTCCAAGATACACTACCTGGAGACTCTGTAGAAAGTTTTGTAAATAACTTCCATGACATTTTTATGTCCCATCAAATTACATCTCGTTCTTTTCTGCAATAATTTTTAAAGGTTCCCAAAACACAGCACAGACAAATAATTCTACACAGGAGAGTACATGCATGCATATGTATAATATTTATGCATGGACATTAATATATACTAGAAATATCTATGTGTAAAGGGAGAAGGGTTCTTGATCCACAACTCTCTCAAGGAGCAGTCTTTACGCAGCTGGCCACAGCTCAGTCTGCTTTTGGACAGAGACCAAGAGATAATTACAAGCAACTAGGAAAAAAAAAAAAAAAAAGTTTATAAAATACAAAAAAAAAAAGTTAATGAGTTCTGTACAGAGCTGAACTGTACCAGTGTTGTAACTGAGACAGCAAAATAAAGAAATGTTTATCTGTTTTTATACAGAGGTCATTTGTGGCTTCTGCATGCCAATAAAAGCACAAAGCTCTTATGTCCAGAGCCACGCAAGGGAGCCAGCCAATGAAACTGTTCTAGAGGTACTGGAAAATCATAACCAAAATGCACTGAAGGATAACGTTTCTCTCTTCTCCCTGCCCCTCCACACCTGCACCTCTCTGCCTGAAATTCTGGAGCTGCAACATGAAAGAGCACTCTGACGTGACTTAAGGCAAGAAATACACTCGATCCCCCACTGACACGCTTCCTGGAGATTCTCTCTCTTCTCTGGGCACAGCACCAAGGATGACAGACATTGTGTATTGAAAAGGTCCTGGGAAGAGATCCAGCATGAATCTGGGTGTGTGGAGGGTAATCTGCTGCAGCTGTGAGGGGCTTAGGGACATGAGGTGGAACTCTTCTAAAAGAAATTAAATATGACTTTAAGCAATAAGTAGTGAAAGACACACATCTCCATTCTGATGTAAGGCTCAGAAAATGCTCACATCTTGCGAGAGGCAGCAGGTGCAGGAGTGCAGGGCTGAATGTGAAGGGAGAGCTGCAGCAGCACAAATTTCCCACTGAATTTCTTTGGAACCAGGTAATGCTGACCAGAACAGGGGAACCTCAGTGAACCTCTAGCACAATGAGCAGAGGTAGCCATTTCTCTCTCTTTAGCCAGTCTTTTCAGTTTGTTTCTCTCTCACCGATTTCAATCTGCAGTCCTCCAGTTGTGCCAGCGGCTACTCCGACGTGCCTAGCACAGATCACTCTGTTTTGTGGGACAGTTGGGAGTGATTTCCTGACCTTGTCTGGTACCACAGCGATGACCATGTTCATAGGAGAAATGGCTCGCTAATTTCTGGCCCAGCCTATTACTCCTTATCAAAGCTCAATATCACACTCCTTATCACAATGCTTCAATAATGTACAACAGTCTTATTCTTTATATCCCATTTCTTGACTAAAGAAGTAATGTATAACTTTTACACTGACAACCCCTCCTCCCTATCATTAATTTTTGCCGGCTACCCTAAACCACATAACATTCAAAAAAACTTCATTTTTGAAGTTTTTGAACAGATCTTCTCTGTTGATCTATCTAGTTTTGACTTTTGACTTTACAAAATCATCAGTCCAGATTCACCTATCTTAGGAGGTATAGCATAGGTCAGGGCCCAGCTTCTCTACAGTCTACTCTATGAAGTTTAACTTGCCAGAGCTGTTATTATTTGTCATTAACATACGCTTCATGAAGTGAAAATATGATCTTACATTGGTATAAATAATCTAGCTATTTCTATAACACTTCTGTTGTTGTATATCTCTTCCTGTGTGCACTTCATGCAAAGTCTGTATTTATACCAACAATGTTCTTGAATAAGCAGAACCGCTTAGTCTGAGTGTCTGATTTATGAAGCATGCCTCTTACCAGATAAATAAAATCCCGTGCATTTGGAAACAGATATCTGGTGTTTCAGGAAGAGAGTTCCAAACCTTATTGCTTGGGGTTCATCCAGAATTATATTCTAGGATTTGGTGAAGAATTTCCACTCTTATTTATTTATTTATTTATTTATTTATTTATTTATTTTGATAAGCTGGTCTAAATTTTCATTTTCTCCCTTGCTGAAGAAGAGCAATGGGAAAGAGCTAGGTAAGATATGAAGCTTTGGGAACCCAGGCTGCCAACTACCTGCTACAAAGCATACACATCATGATGGCCCTTCCTGACAGGGTAGGACACACCAGTCCTCTCTGAACACTGCCAACCCAAAGTCTTTTCCTTTAGACTAAGTGACACTCTAATTAAAAGTCACACATGGTAATTTTGTATATGTGTGAGAATGAATGTATATGCATATGCAAATATGTAGGCTACATGCATATGCTACTACTGTGTACTCATAGATGGCCATTTTCTGTAACTAGTTTCTTTTCAATATGAAAACAATTTCTGAAAGTGTTTAGCTAGTCACCTTCAGGCTAGCAGTCTCCCGGTGTTTTCCCTGTGATTCAATAATGATTTCAAACATTACTGTTAATAGCATTTAATCTCAAAACCTGTCTTTTTCTGGAGCAAAACCCCCATTCACATCTGTTATCATTAGTCCATGGTGACAATACAATGGGAAACATGTTCTAAGAGCCAGGCTATGCTACCCAACAAAGCAAGGCAAATGTTATAATACATAAAAGTGTTATGTGAAATGCATCAGTCCTTTCAGCTTCATCAAGACCACTTTTCAAAGGACTCTAATTCTAACATATAATTTCCTATTTTTAAACAGTGACGGTGCTTCCCATATTTTGAAATTTTCTGCGTGTTTTCCCTAATAGGGATGGAAGCAAATTGATATTTAGAGTTGTGTTTTCTACATGATCTTCTGTTTGGGTTGTAGAAGAAAGGTCTAGCAAAGGAGCCAGGGAAGTGGATCCTTCCATCTCCACTCACTCTGTCAGTTTAAACTGTAGCTGCTGTGAAATACCATTGGAACTCAGACTAGTTTCACATATTTCCCAAAGGTTTTTAAAATTAGGAGTGTTGCAAATGAAAGACTCAACTAACTGTTTTGCAAACTCCCTTTTTTAGCCTGTATCTTTCCACACAATTTTCTTTTAACCCTCTTGTACATAACAATGTAGGTATGGGACTGAAAATCTTGTTCTGGTATGACACTACAAGAGTTTTGCCCACCACACAAATCAAACTGAACCTTCAAAAGATTAGGAAAGCTTAGAGAAAACTCTAGCTCAGACAGATGACGGTACCTCTGAGTAATGTGGTGAGAGATATTTCCCATTGTGTTTTGCAATGTCATGCATGATTTTTAATGCCTTCTCTCCCTTTTTGCGTGTCAGGAGCCAACGTGGAGATTCAGGAACAAACCTGTAGGAACACAGAAGCTATTAACAGGGGTTTCATCCATTACTACCTTAAGTAAAGAATATCCTTTGCCTTTTTCCCACCTTTATACCCAACACACTGATTTTTCAGTCTTGTGGGTAAGAAAGGAGAAAATAGAGTGTATCAGTGCTCTGCAAATTTGGAAAAGGGAGAAAACTTCTCAGGTGTAAAAGACTTCCCTCCCTTGCTGTGTTCTTTATTTAGATACACATGGCCAGTGGATCAGGCATTTAACCCCATCTCAATTTCCACAGTGTACATCAAAAGTACACCAGAAGATAACCAACAAAATGACAGGCTGTCTGTAGAATGGCAAGGAACTAGTGGAAGTCAACATCACCTACATGTAGTAACAAGAACTAGCAGACCAGGAAGCTTCTAGCTGTATTACTATACGATAAATGCACATGTGCTCAAATATATACATACATGTATATATAAACTGAACCCAAAGCAAGACTACAGATCAGTGTTCCAGTCTCTGCTAGCCCACTGTTAAGATGACGCACAGTTTAAAAGTGCCACAGCAATGACAGGCAATGTTTGAAGAAGCAGTACAACGTACAAGAAGAGAATATGAGGCTTAGTTTCTTTGCATTCAGCCCACAGGATTGCAGCAGTCCCCTGGGATGGATGGTCACCTGGGCATAGTGCTCTGCTTTCTATTACCCGTACTGCCCAAATCATGGGACCTACAGGGCAAGTTTGGACTGAGTACATAATTAGAAGTTAAGGTGGAAATAATGTCTGAAGGGAAAGCAGACAAGTTAAACAGATCTGGGCAAGTTAACAGAAACAGCCAGTCCTGGGCTAAGAAGCAGCAGAGCAGGGTTCTGGGAAGGACTGGCTGTGGCTGATGGCAGAGACAGACCCTGAGCAGAAAAAGAAAAGTGTGTGTCTGTGATTCACTAAAAAAACATTTAGAAAGACAGAATCAACAGGTGTCTTCTTCCTAATTTACACCATCTTGCACACTAGAGACTTTGGACCACTGTGGGGGTCTCAAGGTGCTCAGGTAGCAATAGTAATAGCAACAAGAGCAATGACTGTAACATTACCAGTAGTAGACCAGGAAAAGGAAGTTGGGCAGTGAAATGGCCAGCTGGATCCCCTGCCAAGTGGGAAGCAAGTAGGCAATGCCAGGGAGAATCATAATTCCCAGGGTGAAAAATATTTGTATCACGATCCCAATGATCCGCTGGGAAGAACCAACAATCTCTGTCACTGAGGAGATAGAAAGCCAAAATAAACAACACAGAAACAAACATAACTCAAAAGAAGAATATTAGTGGTGGAACATAAGAAAGGATTATAGTGTATCAACTCACAAATCTGTCTAGCCTAGCATCTTACATTCAGTTGTTTAAGTTTGTCACTGAAGTTGCCTAGGGCAAGCATGGGTGATACTTCTCCATCAATTCACTCACAGGTCTTCAGACACAGAGGTCTCTGACTGCATGTTAACTAATTAATTAAACAGGGCCAGGACAGGGTTTGAGACTGCATCATGATCATGCTCAGTGGCAAATTCTTAGCACTCTCCCTGGCACTATTTTGGCCCATGCCCCAGAGAAGGGGATCCTGTGGCAGGGGCTGCACCCAACAGTTAATATGGGCAAGACTTCTGTCAGAAAAAAGTTTAGCCCTACCATGCTTATTTGCTCTGAGGGCTGAGGTATAGCCCACAGCTTGTTTTATTTATGGCTGAAACTTTCCCTAAAGTCTGGTGATCTAATCTGAGTACTGCAAAATGAAGAAAGAAATGTTCCTTTCTTGTAAAACTTGACCCTGTCCAGGAAGTCAATGTCGTGAAACATTTTGCTGGTTAGAGCTCTTAACAACATTGTAGGATAGGACCTCACTTTAAAATTAGACAATGTTCTTGAAAATGAAGGGGAAAGCAAATTCTGGCCCTTTCACCAGACTTTGGACCTGAGCTGCTCAGCAGTGAAACTTTGGCCAGAAAACTTAGGTGTTTCTGTGAGGGGCTTGGTGGAAGCATGTTTGTACCCATGTCTCCATGATGTCCCCAGGTCTCACTGTAACCCTTTTTGTCTGGTTGCAATTCTGCTCTCGCTCACTGACTACATACAGACATGTTAAAATACTATCCCAGGCCTCACAGAGTACAGTGATGGTATGCATTTTTGTGCTATATAATGATGCTTCCACTATGTTTTGGAATATCACAGTAGATTGTTGAAGGGCTGATCTTCCTTTTAAGTAAATCTGATGCATCATCTCTAGTAGGATACTCTCCTTGGTGCCATTTTATTTCATGTTCTGCAAAGGAGCTGGAAAGTCTTCCTTTTTTAACCTGGCAGTCAATCAAAATGCCATAACAATACCCTTTTCTCATGAACAGTAACTTTGTTATGAAGGAGCTTCATTGCTAAGCCATGACTATAACCTACTAAACAGTCTGGATCCCCGCTGTTTTGATGCTATTTATAAAAAAGCTTCCCTTCCTTCTCCCTTTTCAGGAGGTAATAATTTTAATGTGTACCCTGGTAGACAGTATGTCCAGCCTGGCACTGAGCAAAGCTTCCCAGCTAAAGGATGATGAACAGCCACCTAAGTGTCTGCCCTCCAAGCGTGCAAGAACAGTTAACTCCTCTGAGCATCTGTGGAAGATACTCAGACTCTGACAAAGTTAACCATGTCTGTATTTGCACATCCTGTTTGAATCCGGGCTTACTTCATGGATTTTGATCATCTTGGTGATCTTCTATGTAATTAATAATAATAAACTTTATATACACACATTCCACTCCTCCACCTCTTAACTGTTTGTTAATACCCCACCCCTCCCCATTGTCCATAGATTAGATAGCCATAAAAGCTCTCACATAACGTCAACAGAAGCATTGTATTGCTGCTGAATTGCCTACTACCAGCTGCACACAGCCACGTTCAGGAGAGCAGAACCAAGACAGATCTGAAGGACGTGGCACTCTTGCTGGGCTGCCCTTGTGCATTACTTCTTCCTCACTCTTCCCCATTGGAATTCATGAGATCAGGCAGGCAAATACATTGCTGCTCATATCTATCTCATATTTGTACTCAGCACTGAAAAGAGTTGCAGTCATTCCCAGAGGGCAATTCTGTATTAGTAAGTGAGCAGATATTGCCAGGCAAGAAAACTACCTTGTTAGCTGCTAGAGGGGTCCCTGGCATGGTTTGGACTCAGGCCAGTAGCTGTTTCCCCAAATATTGAGTTCTGGCATGAGCCCAGACCAAGGATCATGCCAAGTTACATTTTGTATACAGTCACACCTTGTCTTGCAGGATAGTGCATTAGAAGGACGGACATGGGTTATTCACCATCTGCTCCCCAAAGGGCCAGCGCTTTTTCCAAGGAAAAATTATTATTACAGGCAGACATAGCTGACTCTTTGTCCTCCATCCCAGTTGTTCCTAGCCAGGGGAAAAATAAAAAAAAAATAAATAAAAATAAATAAAGGAAGATAATAGCTCTCACCGATCACATAGCATGTCATCCAGGTTCCCTTGGCAAACACGCCTTGGAGAAAACGGAAGATCAGAAATACGGTGAAGTTTGGCGCGAATGCTACTATGATTCCACATATCCCATCCCCAAGACAGGAGAGCAGGTAGATGAGGATTCTGCCATATCTGTTGAAGAAAATGAAAAGAAAGTGAAAATCAGGATAGACGTAGAGATTTTTTCTTGTCATTTCATTTTAATGTTAGATCCCAAGGTGCCTTTTTGAGACCTGCCTGGTTCCAGATGGAGGCTGCCTGAAATTTTGTACTGTTTTCCCCAGGATATGAAACTATTTTTTCTGAAGTAGTTATCCCTGTTGTGTCATCACTGATTTTAAGAAGAAATTGTGAAAAATTGTGAAAACTGGTGTAGCTCTTTATCATATCAAAAAGTATTAATGAGAATATGTTTGTTCGTTTTGTTCTAAAGGTTTTATGAGAAGAATTGATATGGGACAAAGATCAGGATATTTTCCATCAAGCCAATTTTGTTGAGTGCTGTCAAAGAGTGTCTAATGGTCTGGCTGCAGCACATTCCCTGATTACTATCAGGGTACAATGGTCGTATTTGTACTGTAATTACATTATCATTAATACACAGGTACTCCTAGACATAATATCTTATTTTAATAATTAGCCATAATATCTCTCCATTTACACAGTCTTAAGGTACCAGTAACATAACTGCACAGCCAGACACTGTGCAGCGTTATCTAAAGTTTGCCAGTGACATGGCACCTCTTCCACCTTCCCGTATTACTTATTCCTATATCCCTTGGAAAACTCCGGTTTTCCTTAGAAGTATTTTTGTTTGGTAGTTTAAAATTTGTTATCTGAGATGACATTCTGGATAATCCTATAAGCATCCCTTCTTACAAAGAAATCATACTTTAAGTTAGTATTATCATTACGACAAATACCAAGGAAAAATAGAACAGTCAGATGGAATGTATTTTACAAAGAAATATGCTCTGCCAGTGAAATCATCAGTGGTGCTCTCAACCAACACATCGTTTGCCTGTCAGTAATCACCAACACAAAGCAGAAGCCAGGCTCCTTCTTTCGCTTTAAGAACAAGGTAGGGCTAGTGGAGGCATGAAGGCTCCCAGCTCTGGGGGGGGTTGCTGCCCAAGCCTGATCATCATCCATATATTTTCCTCAGCACTCATCCAGCCCTGACCGCATGGAGCCATGAATTCAATGGTTGGTGTATGATTCCATCATAGGAAAGGAGAGTTCCTGTACTGAGTTCACTCCTCTTCTCCTCAGGTAGCTGCTTTCTTCATCAGTGGTGCCTTTAAATGTCCTCCCATAAACACCAGTCCAGAAATCTCTTCTGAATGCCTCCTTTTCATTTCTGTGTCCTTCTGCCCTTCCTGGGTCCAGATGTGCACAGAGCACATTGGAAACCACAAAAAAAGGCTCTTTTCAGGACATTTTAAAGTCCAGGCATGATCAGGAAGCACCACTGTGTGAAGTTTCCAGCCCAAAAGGAAGTGAAGATTACTGGCTATGTTTTGTTAACTCAGAATGGGGATATTCACCCAAAGTGAACTAAATCTCCAGAATGGTCAAACATGCTTACTGCAGATTGCTACAAGTGACTTCATCTCCCAAAAACTGAAGGACAGCAGTGCTTATACTTTACCTGTCTGCCGCATAGCCGAGGGTGAATGCACCAGCCAGAAACCCCAGATTGAGGATAGCCTGTGAGAGATCTAGCATCCAGGAGTGGCCACACACAAGGTTATACTGTGGGAACAAGGGAGAGGCGTAAGTACTCCAGGTGGTTTATTCATCATCCCCAGAACAAGGTGTATAGAAACTGCACAGGGCCAGGTAGGAAGGGAAAGGATGGAAGGATGGGGACGGGGTTCACTGGAACTGGAGTTTTGATCACAGTGGATTCACATATAGGAACTGTTTGGTGCAATGGAGGGTTTTTGTTGTTGTCTAAGCTCCCTGAAGAGGATGCTGAGGGTATCTGACAAACATTTCTCCTTCCCAACTGTTACCTCCCTCCTGTCTCCCTTTCTGGTCATCTCTGCTGTTTCAAATGTGTTTGTTCAACAAGTGCCAGTGGACCAGGGAAGTGCAGCAGCCTGAGCAGCTTCAGCACTCTTCAAGCCATTGCTATGATCGAGGGAAAGCCCTTCTTTGCCAAACAGATGCTGTATTTCATACATCAGTTGTCCAGATAGGGAAAAAAATATTAGGGGAAAAAAATAAGGCAAAGCCACAACTTTGTTTAGTGCAGAATAAGGGTGCACAGCTATAACTAACAAAACCTGCAGCTTAATGGAATTGTTTAATTATTTCTCTTAGTGCCTCTTGGATAAAAGCAAAAACATGTGGCTACTGAGAAAACTGAAAGCAGATCTCAAGCAATTTGGACATATTAAATATGTGCTTTTTTTGGTGTAGCTTTGCCTGACTTTTATATTCATTATACTGCAGTAGGCATAACTTCACACACTTTTTACTTTTTAACACCACATTAGATTGGTGTGTGTTTGAAGAATTCATTAGCAGGACACATCAGGCACTCAGATTTAGGTTTCATTGAGCCTGAATCTGGCTTAGTATTGGTGCCAAATGTAGTGTTTGCACTGTCACTGACAGTAACTATAACAGATTTTTGTTGTTAGTTATGATGTCTTTACTGGAAGTCCAGGACGTGGGTTTGCTTGTGGGATTCTACTTTTCTTGAAGTCACAGATCTGGGAAGTTTGTGACTGAGAACTGCAGCTTCCAGCTGGCTCTCACAACTGGCAGCAACCTGGGCCAAGGAAACCCACAGGTCCCCAGCCCGATGGATATCCCAGCCCCACCTACTGTTCACAAAGTCATGGCTTTGATGTCAGCCTCAGTGCTCCGGTGAGCCTGACTAGCTGCCTCTCAGCAAGTGAGGCCATTAGCATTTGGCTTCCACTTCTGTAAATCTCAACCAGGGGCTGCAGAAAGTTCAGCTTCCTCTGGAAGGAATGAAACCTCTTCTCAGTTATCGTATGCAAGAGCTATTGCAGTGCTTTCCTAAAATAGCCTAGACATAGAGCAGCACATTCAGACTTCAAACGCTGCTTAACCTCTTGCTTTTTTGAAACTATGTCAGTCCTGGCAAATCACACTAAATGATGTGGCATTGGAAAGCAGTTTGTTGATAAGAATAACCACTAAATTAAAGCAGCAATGCAATTGACTGTGATGGCACATGTTGGGACTCTCAGAGGAGCATCTGAGGCCACTTGCAAAGGTTACCAGAGGGTTAAAAGTTAGCAACAAGAAAGTGCTGGCTTCAAAAGTGTGCTGCTGAAGTGTAACAGGGAAGGAAATGACCACATGAAGAAGTAGGCAGAGGGGGCAAACAGGAAGAGTGGCTTCAGATGAACTCTAGGAAACCTCTCTAACCTAGCTGTACCAAGCCAGAAACCTCACAGGATGTGTGCCCAGTGTGGGACCCCCAGCCAGGGCCCATGCTGGCACTGCCATGTACACACCATAGGGACCATCTGGACAGCTGCTGGACTTGTACGTGTGAAGATGTGTGTATATTGCCAGGTCAGCAGTGCCTTGGCACAGCTCCTCTGGCCAGCTAGGCCTGCATTTCAAGCACAGCAATGTGTTTGAGCTGGCAGCTGAATGCTGCTGCTCGGCTGAGCTTCAGCACAATGCAGCCACTGCTCTCACAGGACTTCAGTCTGCACCTGTGCTCCAGCTCTGAACATGATTTCACATGAAACTTCGCACCCCTTTATTCTCCTTCCAGCAGACACCTGTAGAGTCAGCCTGGACATGCCATTCCCTGAGAGAGGCAGAGAGGAGTCCTCACACATCTCTGCTGAGAATCCTCGGGAAAAACAGAGATCGAGCTCACATCCTGTGGAGCCTCTCCTGAAGGCTAAGATCAGTCCAGCACCGCACAAACATCTTGTCAGCTCCTTGTCAGATTGAGACCTTGGAGAGAAATATCAGGCTGTGAGATTAGCAAAGAGGGCTGCATACAGGACTAGATGTTAGAACCCTCACAGACTTGCCTGAATCAGAGAGCAAAAAGTCCTCTGACACTTCTGATTGCTCCTACAGAAGATGGTCATGAGAGAAGATTCCCCCTCATAAGTCAAAACAGTCAAAGAGAAAGCACGGAGCCAATTAAGAGCATTAAGAGCATTACTGCCTTGCCAGAAACACCCATAAATGAGTGTGAGAACAAAATTAAAAACTCATGTAATAACAGAACCACTTAAGTAATGTCAAAATGAGATGATGTTTACATGAACATCAAAATCAACAAATAAAAACAGTGTGAAGCACTTAAAGTCTGTTGTTAATTTCAAGCCCAAAACTTCTAACACCTAAAAGCTGCGTTGGAAGCATGTACTTTTGATCCTTTTTCAAGGTATATTTTTAGTCTTTAAATAATTTGATCCCTCTTCACTATAAACAGGCAGTGAATAAGCAGTCATGAAAGAGGGTTGGAGAACACGTGCCAGAAATATACAGGGAAAAATGTGCTTACTGGAGAACACTCTTTCATCTCAACATTAGTCTCAGATGACTTAGGCAACAGCTGAAACCAGCCCTTGTCTAGCAACATAGTCAATTTTTTGAATATTCTGGGAAATAAGAAAATACAGGAAACTTCTAGGAAGCTATTTGATCTTTCTGAAGGGATTAGTGATGACACACTAACCTGTACCACCTTATTCAAGCTCACTCAGGACAACGCAGCAGAAAGGGAACATCACCGTATACTGCATTCAGTCCCCTTAGCTCCATAGACTTGAAATTTAATTGCAAAAATATTTACTGCAGTGGGAAGGCAAAGGCAAAGGCAAAGGCTTTAGGTTATTTTCCCCTGCTTTGAAGCCTACTTGTTGGCACGTACAGCACTGGCTACATCTAGATCCTGTAGAAGCCTTGCCATCTCCTCATGGCAATCGTCAAGAGGTGAGCTAGCTCAGCCGGACAGCCCAGCAAAGGGCATGTCTCCTTCTTCAGCACTGTCCTGCTCTCAGCTAGGTGCCTCACTGCACAAGTGCTCTCACCCAGCTCAGCACTGCCCACAGCTTGTCTCAGCACCCAGTGCTCTGGAGGCTTGAGCAGTAACATGAAATCCCAGGGCACACTGCCCTGCAGTGTGAGTGGAAGGAGTAACACTGGTGCACTTTGCTGATCTCCAAAGCAGCAGAAAGCCACCTGAACCAGACCTCTCTGCGAGAAGGAAGAGGTTTTGCACTGGGCCTCTCTATTTCATTAGTGGAGCAATATTTATAGAGGGAGTGGAAAGTGGTTAGGATGAAACAGAAGAAACGCTCATACGTGACTAATGACCGGGAAACATAGCAGCTGTAGCAACCTCTCATTTCCCCATAGTTCTAGCAGGAAGCAAACATTTTCCATTTCACTTTGACGTAAAGACTAACAGCAGATTTGCAATTCCTTATCCTTGAGAGGACTTATGCTCTGAGATAGTCCCAGAATACTTCAACACACCTCTGCCTGCAGAAATTCATTGCCTTAAATGACAACACGTTATTAAAAGCTCCTCAAACATTGCACCTTTGAGTAGGAGTTTGGAAGAGCTTTTATTGTCTGTCACAATTAAATTTCAAAATGATGGGTAAAACTCTTTATTCAATAAAAAAATCTACGGGGTCCATCAGTCCAATTCCAACAGCATGGGGAAAACCCACACCTGTTGAGTGGCATCCATACAAGTGGCCAAACAGAGGCTAGTTTATCTTCCCACTCCAAGTGACAAAGATTTTAGGACAGGGTTCATTGTTAAAGGAAAACTTGGGAGATGCATGCAGTAGTTCATTTGTTGCTGAGCAACTTTTCTCCCACCTCTTCCATCCTCTGGGCAGTCAAATTGTTATCTTTTGTTATCATTGAGCCTCCTAGGACATAAAGCTTTCTGTGTCGTTCCCTTTTCTCTACCCATGGCCAAAGCAAGTGGAGGTGGAGAAATATATCATCTCCTAAACAAACAGCAGCTCTCCAAAACACAATGAGAAATCTCAAGGTTCAAACCCTCAGGCAGTCTCAGCTGGCTCAACTGCAGTGACAGAAACATGACCCCATGACATAGCCCATGCAGGGAACTGCTCCAGCCCCTCTCATACAGGGAAGCTTAGAGTTTCATAAGGAATTTAGCAATTCCTTCTCTCTCTGCTCATCTGTCTGCCCTTTTCCCCTTCCCTTCACTGCTTAATAGTAATCCCTCCATGACAGTAGAAATAAGACAGGGTCCTGCTCTGCCAATGACAATTATCATACCAGATCAGCGCATGGAGGGTGAATTCTGGTCTTTATTGTGTCAGAGGAGGAGAGCAAAAGGACCAGCTGTGCTTTATCCACCCTGAGCAGCACTGCCACAGTATCCCCTGTTCTGAGGGACTGCAAGAACTCAGAGACGATCATTACTGCTCTGCTTGCAGGTTCCTCTGCAAATGTTGGCTGACCATCATTTTCTGAGACAGCTGGCAAGCAGAGAAGTGAGAAGATTTATTCACAGCAGGTGCAACAGGATATGTTTGGACGATCATTTGCCCACCTCAGACCTCACACTTCGGCAATAAGTCATTGCCAGGTCTCCAAATGACATCATCTGCAGCATGGAGACTTGCTGCAGACAGGGCACGTTGTAATCAGTCCCTTCTGCTGAGCTCCTGCCAGCCGAGCTGCTAATAAGCCCCAACTATGCCAGCTGTGCTGGAGCTGCTGATGAGCACATAGACTTTCCTCATCTTATCACCCGCCCCGCCAGAGGATCCAGCCTGCAGGTGTGACTGTAATTCATGCACATGCCTGCAGGAGTCATCGTCGCCAAAAAGTGCCTGAGTAAAATACCTACCACTTCCCAGACTCTTACCTTTCACAGAGTGCTCGATATTCCCTGCTAGGACTAAGGTGCACAGTGCCAAAGCCCGGCAGTACTAAAGGTCAATGACTCAGCACAGTTTCCTGGGGGAATTAGGCTTATTGACTCCTGTGTGTCCTGTGTACATGCGGCCTTTCACTGCAAGTCTTGTAGTGACAAGCTGGTTTTGGTCAAACGAGCTGCACTGAATGCCAAACAGTATGGCAGCCCACAAAGGTAGTAGACCTTCTCAAAGGCAGTAGGGATGCTCCTCATCAACCTCCGCAAGGCTCACCTGGCCGGGGGTGGCAGGAAGGACCCTTCAGGTGTTACAGGGTTGGGGGGAGGGGGAGCTGGGCCGCTCGCTCACTGTCCCCAGCAGGGATGGCAGAGAAAATCGGAAAGATAAACGTGCAATAATTCATGGGTTGAGAGGAGGGCAGTTCACCAGGTGAAGCAATAGCCATGCACACAAACAAACCAAGCAAGGGATCCCCTCGCTGCTTCCCATCAGCAGGCAGGGGTTTGGCTGCTCCCAGGCCAGCACGGCTCTGCACGCTGAGCGGCTCCTCGGGGGGACAAACACCATACTCCCAGTGTTCCCCCTTCCTCCTCCTTTGCCCCAGCTGAGCACGGTGCTTCATAACATGGGACACCCCTCTGGCCAGCCCAGGCTGTCCTGGCTGTGTCCCCCTAGTCCTTGGTGCACCCGCAGCCTCCTCGCTGGCCGGGCAGTGCCAGGAGCAGAGTTCTGGGCTCTGTGTGAGCACGGCTCTGCAACAACTGAAACGTCAGGGTGTTATCACCGCTATTTTCATCAAAACCCCAAACCGTTGCATCATACCAGCCTCTACAAAGAAAATTAACTCTATCCCAGCCAAAACCAGGACACTGATACATGCAGTGACATCTCCTGTCTTCATGGGGAGCTGCACCAGACCCCACCAAGTTAAATGGGAGCAGAGGGCTGACCAGGCTCAGTCTTCTGCTCAGACCCACCATCAGCGACAGCACCGCATTGAAGGGATCTCTGCCAAGTTTCACACATAGCGTAGCCTTTGCTCATGTTTCAAAACCGCTAAACCATCCAATTTCCAGTTTGCTCAACTCTACTTCAGGCACTGCAGTGCCAGCAGGTGACTCCCACCCTGATCTGGGTGCAGAAGGACCTGCTCTCAGGGCCCATATGACATCAGAGGATTTTAAGAGGGACCCCTTAGGATCACTCTCTCTCCTGTCACTAGACTTAGCTAACTGGCTTTGGCAAGCACTGATCTTATAATAACTTCTTAATAGATTTTACTCTTCTCAAACGAGGAAGAAGGAAAGCCTTGGCACACTCCCAGCACCCCACCGTACCCCAGCACTAGGACTCGGGGCTTCCACAGCCACAGGTACTGCTCACAAAGCAGCAGGGGCTTTTTAATCAGCCTGTGTTCCCCCTTTTTCCTCTACTTCCTTCTGCTGATGGTATTGTAAGCACCTGATGAGCAGATAGCCATCTAAGATGAGATAGCTGCTAGTGAGCAGCATCCTCTGGTTACACAGAAATCAGAGCAGTGACATCAGGTACTGCAATATCATTCATTTCACATCTCCTTATAAGTCAGTCCCTGCAGCCATAAGATCTAGCTTCTTTGGGGAGCTCAGGACTGCAATAGCTTGTGCTTAGGCTGTGACATGTGAAAAGTGACATCTTCTTCCAGCAAAGGTTTCACATGCCTGCAATTGCCCTCTGCCTCCTCTGCCATGCTGCAAATCCACACCAGAGCTGTGCTGGCCAGAAGCCTGGAAGATCTCCTTTGGTATCCCCTCTTCTTATTTCTTTTTTTTTTTTTTTTTCTCTCCCTGAACATGTGCTCTTCATGTAACTCATCCTTCCCTCTACTTTTCTCTCCTTGGTCACTTGCACTGTTAATTCCGACAGACACAAAGTGCCAGAAACCTTGAGATAGTTGAAAGAAACAGAAACATTTCTGCACACACATGGACAAAGTGATGCACTTGCAGGCAGACACATAGGAAAAGAGAAGTTTGGTGATCTGATTAAGCAGAGCGCAGATCTGCATTAATAATGCGTTATTAGATATCGAGTTCCTTTTAATAGCTGATTTCAAAGCAACTGAACTGGGATGTGCATGCCACAAGTTTCCTTTTTACATAAAAGAACTGAGCCTCATGGAACAGGAATTTGTCTGGCAAATGTTGCACAACTGTAAATGAACCCAAGTGCCACAGGACGAGATGTCCCTGCCACCCCTGTCAGCCGGAGCCCCTCCAGGAGCAGCGGTGACACTTATGGGGGACCTGCTGCCCTGGTGCAGGGGACAGGCAGTCCCAACCTCACAGTCCAGTCCTTTCTGGCTTTGCCAACCTGTCCCTTTGGGAGCAGAGGCGGGGAGCACTTCCCTGAGCATCCCCACATCTCTCCTCCCCTCCACATGGCCCTGGAGCGTCTCCTGGGACAAGGAGAGGAAAGTGCAGCTGGACAAAAGCCAGTGAACACTCAGCTTTCACTGCCATTCATTACAGCAACACAAGCACTGGTTTCATTTTCTTTAAGCCATACCCATAGGCTCAGTGCTGCTGGGAAATTACAGCGACTGTTAGATGCACCAACAGCTGCCATAAATACAGTGAGCACAACCCTTTGGGTGCAACTTGCTTTCAGCAAGGCTGAAAGGGAAAAAAAAGTTGAAAGAAAAAATGGAAAGAAAGGGGAAAAAAAAAAAAAAAAAAAAAAAGAAAAGAAAAAAGAAAGAAGTAAAGGAATCTCCTTATTTTTTGTTTTTTAAGCTGTGACAGGAATGTCTAGTGCAGCTCACCCAGGTAAAAGACACCAGGGACCTAAAACTCTCCTGTCCCCCAGCAGAGTCTCTGGCAGGCAGCAGCACAACCTCCTTACCACATCCCCACCAGCATTTGCCCTCCCAGGGGCCAAAGTTTGACATAGGCTCCCCACGAGTCTCTTACAGCCCTCATTGCAGCCCAGATTTCGGCAGTGGCACACAAAAACTAGTGCAAGCACTTTGCTCCAGGGCCAGCCAGTTGTTCTTATTTATGCACAGAGTCTGCTGAAAGCTGCCCAGATCAGGTGCAGTGCTTAGGGCATGGAGTTCCTGCTCTGAAGATCCTGCAAGATGCCAGCAGGGCTGTCCTGGCTGGATGTCCTGGGGACAGGCACCGCTTTCGGCTTAGTGTTTGCTCAGGGCTTCATCTGCTGTGCCCTGCTGTGTGTCTTGGAGGGCATGGCTCTGGTGCAAGCACTGAGTTAAAAGCTAATGCGGGAGGCTCGTGAGACAGGCTGGAGCCAGAGCCCATGGCTGTGCTGACACATTTTGCAGAGCACCTGGATTGTTTCCGACCCAGCCCTTCGAAACACACTGCTGGTTTTTCAGCACCACACCGGTGACACAGTTACTGTCAGGATGACCTTAAAGCACGCACTGCTGGTGAGCAGCCCATGCCCTGGAGCCACAGCACAGCACAGCCACCGCCTGATTGCAGCCTGCACTGGTTACCTCTTAGGTCAGCATCTTAGTGGCCCTTTGGTGCCTTATAAAAAGCCACCACTTCTGCCAGCGCCTACCACCAGTGGTAACAGGCAGCCTGCAGTACTCTGGGTGAGACATTTCAGGATAAGCAGAGCGATGGCTTGGGGCACAAGTCTGTGCTTTTCTTCTTCAGAAAGCACACCCATCTCCCCTGGCTCCTGTCAGACCTCGGAAGGCAGCCAGCCACCAGTTTTCATTATTAGCCTCAGCTGCAAGGGCATCACTCTCTGTTTTAACCTGACGTCCCCCCAGTGACAGGGTGATCTCTGCGTGGGGCGTTTGGCTGGCAGAGCCACTGAGAGAGGCACCATGCGGCTCAGCTCACCTTTCCCTTGAAGCCTGACACTGACACTTGATCTTACTCATTCTCCCCATCTGTCTACGGCTTGGACCAGAGCACACCCGCTAGGAAAAAGCAGCAGCACCCGAAGCAGCGACCCTTCCCCACACCCTGCAGCAGCAGCCCCGTTCCCCTGCCTCTATCCTGCCCTGGGACGGAGGCGCTGACAGGAGGACAGGGCTTCTCCTTACCTCGCTGACAATGGACGAGTGGGGCTGGTGGTACACCCAGCTGCCCTGGCAGGCTGCGAGCCGTGGGCTGCCCACGCTGACATTGGGGCTGTGGGCGAGGGGGCTGGCACAGCTGGTGGAGGCATCCCAGGAGATGTCCAGCCGCTCACAGTGCCCGCTGGCTGAGCCGTTCACCAGGCGCAGGGACAGCAGGGTGAAGTTCTCCTCCTCTTGGAGCGACCAGTTGCATCTTTCGCTTAATTCAGCTCCCCCGGGGATCCTGCACCAGTAGCTGCCCGGCGCCTGCCCCAGGAAAACCACGCTGGCGAACAGGAAGGAAAAAGTGACGCCGGTCTGGCAAAGAAGGAAAAAGACCCTTTTCTGAAACCGGCCGAATTCCCCGGCTTCCTTCAACACCTCGTCAAACGATGGCATGGTGCTGAGGCGGCTCGACGTGCCCAGAGGGGTGGCAGGGCTCTCTCCCACGCCTGACGGTGGCAGCTGGTGCTGGCTCCCCACGGCCGTGTGTGTGTCCTCGGCGCTCATGTGCACAGCCCCGGCACCACAAGCGGGGCCGTGGCGGGGCGAGGCAGCACCCACGGGTGCGCCCACGTCCCCGAGCACGCCCAGCCGGCCACTCACGGCGTGGGGCTCACAGACAGCCTGCGAGCAGCGCGATTTAAAGCGCACGAGCATATTGAAGGAGAGGAGGGGCGTGCGTTTCCTTTTTATCCAGAATGTTAAACGGATCGTGTAATAAAACCTGTTAACTCCTTAGGGGTGGGTGAGGCACTAATGCCCGCTGCCACCCCGGCTGCGGTAAGTACATGGGCACAAGGGCAAAGCAGAGAGCTGGGTGGGAAGGAGGCCAGGGGCTGCTGCTGAAAGCAGCGGTGAGGGATGCAGCTGCTCTGCGGGGCAGCAGGGGCAGAAGGAAAGTTGTCTCAACGTAAGCCATAAAGCCTTCCCTTCGGCAAGGAGAAGTGAGTACTGCGGCGACTGTTTATTTACTTTGCCAGAGCTCTACTTCACCTCTCACCTCCCGCACAGATTTAATTCGCAAGTCTTTCCTTTGTACAGTGGAATTAAAGCGAGGCTCACAAACTATTCCGTCCAAAATACAGTTTTTTGGTGGCTTTTTTTTTTTTTCAATTTGGCTCCACCTATTAATAAAAGGCTTCTATATGACCTTGTTCATTTTATTTTCACAAAGTCTCCCAAATATTTAAAAGATCAATTATGAGTTTTCCCTTCTGTCCCTCAGAGTGAATGGAAAACTAGTCTTGTGCTTTTCTGTTCTGCCGTTCTTTTGAGTGAGGGGAGAAGGGAAGGGAGAGCCAAGGCTGGGGTTCATTCTGTGTGCTCATGGGCATGTCTTGTTGCCCTGAGTGAGATCAGTGGCAACCGTAGGTATTTTGCACTTTGCTCAGGATTTTAAGGTCCACAGCCCTTCTCTTTCCTTGCAGGAAGGAACACAGGGCCAGCACTGATGAAGAATGTCTCCAGAAAACCCTTGTCTCTTGTTCCCTGTAGCTTTGACCATGGATGTCTATGGCTTTGGGTAGAACTCAAATTTCCAGAACAGTCAGATCCTGTCTAAGGAAGGCTCTGATCACTGTACAGGCTATCTGACATGGATTTTGTAACTGCCATGAAGACCAGTGCTGTGGTGTGAGCCTGCAAAGATGTGTGTTGCAGGGAGACAAGCTGCTGTGCTTGCATCAGAAGATGCTTTCAAGGGAATTTCTTTTGGCTCCTGGTTATGCTGTTTTGCAGTAATTGAACTTAGGGGTGGTGAACACGTCACCTTTGGGTCCAGGTCTGTGTCTAACGAAAAGGAGCACAGTCTGATGGCTGGTTTTGAAAAGGAGGAGCTATTTTATCCCAGCTGGACTAAATGAGGGCTGATCATGCTGGGATGTCAAAGGTGAGGTGGCTTATCCTGACAGCTCGCAGTGGCCAAGAAGGAGGTCGTCCCTGCAGGGACCTCCACAAAGACAAACAAATGGGGACAGAGCCTGATGCAGGCATCAGCGCAGCCTGTGCACTACCCTCACAGCTCCGCTTGAGGGTGTATCAAACATCCATGGCTCCTCAAGCCTTTCCCAACAAGAAATGTGGCTTTTAACCCTCTCAGGCATGGGCTCAGTTCTGAACCACGAGGGCTGGTCCCCTGCCAGCCATGTAACAGCACAGCCACGCTCAGCTTTTTACCTATTTAAGAAACCATCAGTTTCCAGTTAACCAGTGGAGCTAGACCAGACACAGTCAAGGGAGAATTTGGTCCAATGTTCAAGCATTGCTTCTGGAGCTTCTTTCTTTCCCCAGAGTACATATGGTCTAGTAGCTGGATCTCGAATTTCATGGATCTCACCCATTATGCTCCAGTTATGCATAGCATGTGCACCACAGCCTGCCAGAAAACATAGCAGCTGAGAGAAATCAGCACTAATGTCACAGCAGTGTAAATCTGGGAATGTTCATAACATTCCCCACTGTAATTTCTCCTGGTAGATGTGAAGGTTCATTCAGCAATGTCAGTTCAATTGTCTGGTATAGACGGTTTCAAAGTGACCTTAAGTTCGTAGTTAAGTTCATGCTAGTGTTTTCATTTCTTGCTCCAAAAACAGCTTATCAGTATTTGCCACCATATCAATGGGCTGCAAGACTCTGGTTTGTGAAAGAAATTTAAATATCCCAGTGAGAGGTGCATGAGATTATGTATTACTGTTACACTGCAGCAAGCAATTCCCATTTTTGCTGAGGCTTTCCTGGAACTTGAACTTTGCGTGCTGCAAGAGATGAACACATCTGAGAACGGAAAGATGATGGTTTGTATACAAAGCCTGCAACTGTAGCCTCTTGAAAAAAATGTTTTTGAGGATGGATCTTGAGGTCAAACCATAATTCTAAGCATTTTATCCTACGCATACAGTAAAAAAAATATTCTCTTTGCTACTGGGAGATAAGCAAGGGAAGAAATAGCTAAGGAAAACCTTGACTGGTGAAGAAGACAGAAGCAGTAAAAATAGATGAAGAGAAGTGAACAGAAAGTGGGAAGGGGAAGAGTGGAAAGGCAGCAAGCCAGGGAAAGAGTAGAGGCAGAAGGAGCCATGAAAGGGGAGCAGAGGAGAAAGAGATATAGAAGAACAACTAGATTACAAACATAAACATCTTTAGAGCTGTCTTAAAACCCTAAATGTCACAACTATTTCAAAAACAGAATGAAAACTGTGTGGTCTAAAGGAGGAGACACATATATTCCCCATCTACTCGTGGCACTAGACTACTGTTTATTCTAGCCTGGAGAGCTACCCCAATCAAACTAACCCTGGAAAGTTCCAGGTTTAGTGCAACACCCTGTATAATTGTTACCAGTACTTCAGAGAAACACTTAAAAACTCCAGTGTTCTTGTTTTGGACAACATAAACAGTGAGGCAGTGACATCAATCAATTTGCAGACACCACCCTAGATTATAGCATTATTTCCATGATAAAATTACACAGCAAAGCACGACCTAAGTTTTGATGTCCTATGGACATATGCCTCTTGATATACGAAAGAAGGCCTGGGAGCGAGACTGGACAGTCATCTACCACCATTCATGTTATGCGACTGCTTATGTGACTGCTGCTTCGTTTTGCACCAAAATTTTATCTCCCAGACAAGTTTACTACAGGCTAGACAGTCCTAAGCAGCAGGGGTGCAAACTAGTCCGTATCACATCATCCTAGGGCCAGGAGACTGCCTACACCAGCCTTTCTTCAGCCCTCCATGACAGGAGGAGTGGCTGCCTCTTTACTTGACCACAACCCTGCATTTCAGGGTTGTCTGAACCTCCACTCTCTGGTGACCCTACAGCAGAGACCACCACAACTAACTGGGCAGTAGTAGCTCAAGGCATGTTGAGAAGATCTTAATGGCAAAGCTTGGTTCAAAGCAGAAGATGGCAGGGCCTTTTTTTGTTCTTGTCCACTCACTTCACCTCCAAGAACTAGCTGCATCCCATAGGTCTGGCTGTCCTGTACAGAAAGCATTTTTATGCCATGCTGAAATGCAAAATTTTCATCTCCTTCTTTTATCTCCCCATCCTTTCCCTTCAAGATTTCCTTTTTCTTTCCAAGAGGTGCAAATCTATTCAACGGAGTATGTCCTTTCCCAGGCCTCCAGGATCAGCTTAGCTATCTGCAGGCTAACTGTGAGACATGGGAAAGGTCAGCTCCAAACAACAGGGTTTCCACCTTTTGGCAATCCATGAAAGCAGTGTACAATGCACGATACTCCCCTCCCTCACTATTTCCATGGCCTTTAGGCTATTTTTACCGTCTTGGTTCCAAGAACAAATATAAATAAATGTAGTTCTAGGAACTGTAGAGTACAACAACCAGGGGGATCTGTACTCATCACTAGGACAGCAGCTGAAACAGCAGAGAAAAAATGGGGACACGGGGAGAAAAGGGAAAGCCCAAACAAGATAGAAAAAACAAAGCGTGAAGGGAAAAGCAAAACAGAAGCGATGAGGAACACACGGGGGGAGCAGTAGTGACCACTACAGAGACAGGCTGTATTCCTGTCACTTCGGGCAAGTGTAGACCGAATTTACAGCAGGGGAGGAAGACATCTTCTACCCCTCAGCCAGCACTCACTCCTACACCTGTAGCTTTTCCTCCTGCCACCCTGGTGCAGAGGGTGGGAGGCTGAAGGGTTTAGGTACCAAAGCTCCAGGGGAGCTCATCCCTGCTGCTAGCAGTGACAAGGGCTCCCTCCCTGCTGCACGAGGCATGCCAGGGTAGCTGCACTGCTGTCCCTTTTTGCCTGCCAGAGAAGATCAGGTGCTGGGCATCTGTGTGCCCATGGATAGCGTGCACCCATATCCCATTGGCTTTAATCCTACTCTCGTGAGGGAACAAAAAGCATCACAGCTTCTCCGTGACCAGCGGAAGGAAGGACAGCCAGAGGAAAAGGGATTCCTGCGCACGCATTTTTACAGTCAGTAAGTGGCTTCCCTTGTCCTTTTCCACTTCACCCGGTCACTCTGGAGATCCGCAGAGAGGCTGCACTACCTTCCTGTTCAGATAAATACGCCACGATCACAGAGTACATTTGTCAGGACTCTTGACAATGACTTTGAATAACCGAGCATTTTGGTCACAAGCCAAGACAGCCCAAGTTCAACAAAGGCTAGTTTACATGATGGAATGTGCAAGGGCTTCTCCAGAGATGGGTGTAAAGGCCTGCTTAAAAAAAAAAAAAAAAAAAAAGTATCCTCCTGTTGTCAGACAGCTGTCAATCACAAACTTTTGTTCTCTCTCAGCTATCCCTGCCTCATCTGCTGCCTAGAAAGACGGGAAATTACGTCATTTTTGCTTGTGTTTTTTTTTTTTTGTTGTTTTTGCATACCCCTCCCTTCTGATTCTGTTTGCATCCAGATTGGAAGCAAGTGTTTCTCAATACTAAGAAAAGGGCTGTGCGGGAAAGTTTCCAGCCCAGATTTGTGACAATAAAGGTTACATATTTACATTACATCAAGGATGGTGTCAGTGTAATTTGGATTTCCAGGGCTGCCACTCAATAGCTGCCTGCTTCTCTAGCTGTTTTGGAAGTGTGACTTCACACACACAAAAGCACAAAAACCCTGCAAAGTTTCTAGCATTAGTATTTTTAATATACTTCTGTACCACTTCTCAGTTTGCTGTTTTATCAA